GTCATTTGAGGCGGCGCCGCTTCAAATCGTTGCAATGTTGCTGCCATTATGATACCCTATAATAATCAAAGCATTAACAAAGAGTTGATTATTACAGGGTATAAGAATAGAATTTAGGTGTATTGTTGCCTTGAAATCGATCAAAATTGATATTCAAGCTTATTTTAGCGTTAAGACCGAAAGAGCATTATAAGAGGATTATAAGTATGCCTAGTATTTCAACTATCTAACTATCAACTATCATGTATTTCGATCAAATCGATAATCATCCATTTTGGTATGTACGTTCTTACAAACTTAATAAATTTGGCTTTTTTTCAATTACAAAATGCATCTATAAGCTTTGATACATTTTTGCTAAAATGAATTTTTTTTTTTTTTAAATATAAAACCATTTATATTTTTATTTACCGATTAATAAGTATAAATAATAAATATATTTTAATAATAGATAAGTATCGATAGGCAGATGTATATTAAGTGTATAAATATATATATATATCATAAATTAGGAGTATATCTATTAAAATATTGAACATTCCATATAATTTCGAGCTTAAAGTCCAAACTCAATATATATCGATACCCAAGCATTCTCAAGTATTTTGAAAGTATTGAGTTTGGCAGCGCTTTCAATTAAAGCTCATTCTAGTAAATGTTAGGGTATACAGAGTATCTATCCAAGTCGATAACATTCGACAATGAAATTCCAGTATGTTATTGTTGTTGTTTCATTGATTGAAATCGCATAAAAACAAAGGCAGTCCAAAGTGATGGGCGGTTTATTTCACGTTGTTTTTGTTGTGGGGGAGTGGAGTGTGAGGCCTATAGAGCACATCAGGTAGACCCCAACCTGTAATTTCGGGGCGGGGCTGCGGGTAGTGTGCCTCGTGGGCGTTGCATAAAAATATGTATAGGAGTGTGTGCACAAGTTTAGCCGTTCGATATTTTGTGCTGCGTTCGGGCTTTTACTGATTTGCCTAACGTGAAAGTTTTGATTGTTTTTCGCGTTTCAATTTCCCTCCAAATGACAGTCGAACATGCCATGAAATATGAGTTGATTGCCGGCCTATTGAAACGAGCTGGGCGTGACTATTGACGGGTTATAAATTAGATTGTAAGTCGGCGGAGTTAAATATAAAAAAATGCAAGAAAAAAACAAGCTCATTAGACGGCGGCAATTACTTCTAATTAATGTTCTTTCGAGAAGCATAAAATTTTGTTAAATTTTGCAGCCTGCCTTTTACCTTTTCTTACACGCCAATTAACTCGCAACGCTCATTACAGACGTTGGCTCTGGTAGGGGGCGTGGCTAGTTGTGTCACTCTTTGGTGCAACGGGGCGTATTAATTAGCCACTCGAAGCGAGTGGCACCCCAGCTACACACAGGTAGACAGGTAGACAGGGTGAGACTGGGAGTGGGAGTGACTGGAACAGGCTAACGCTAGCTTCAAATGTTTCCATTTTGCAGGCAGTTCAAAAACTCAGCCCCCCCTCCCCCCCTCACATCCTCTTTTCTTCTGCTCCCTCTCAGCCAGAGCCCAGCATCGTCGTTAGCATTACGTCAACTAATTGGCTTCATTTGGGGTTGCCTTGTGGCTGCCTGCGTGGCGCTTTTCCTTTTGTCGCCACCAACTTGTTGTGTGTGTGTGTGTGTGTGTAACTGCCGTATATGTGTGTGTGTGCATTTGTGTGCTCCTGGCAATCAGAATTTTCTAATTGGCAATGAAAGGCGCATAATTTATGAAAATATCGCACACTTATTTCATGCCACACTTGGCACCAAATGTTATGCCCTGCACCTCAAGTTAAACATGTAAAGCGCATACTTCCGTTTGTCAGGCTAATTGCGTTCGATAATCAGGCTAGATTTGTGGCTACGTTAAAAACTGCAGCAGCAAGTTAAATAAGGTCATAATGCTGAGATTAAGAGAATGCACAATTGCTTCATAGACTGTGCGCGATTTTTGGAATCCATCCTAAACCCAAATTCAACTCCCAACTTAAATATAAAATCAAGAGCAAGAAAAGGCTGGATTGTTTGGCAGGCTTGACTATCAGCAGACGGCTGCCACTGAAAGGAAAGATTGATTTATAAACTACGCAATTCCTCTCAACTTAATTTGGAAGACAGACAAAGGCAGACTTGGGCTCTGTGCATATAATTAGGCTCAAATTTGATTAGGTTGAGCGTAGAGAAATATCTTCCACTAGGACTAGAGATCAGCGACTTAATGGAGTCTATATATATTCCAGATCAGACAAGTCCTTTTTCCAGGAGCAGCTAAATTTGCTAGAAGCACCCAACAGCCTGCGGGGTGAATGCTTTCATAAAAAGACCAAATATACATTGATGCATCCAAATTCCTGCGGACTGGCATATAAGACATTACGCCCGGAAAGTGTTGCATACGAGGCCTTAACCAAAGAGTATCTACATACATACTTCGTACTGTCTTTAGCTTTGCTTAAACGAAAGATAGTCGTGCTTGATCTGGTCTTAATATATATATAATATAATCTAAAAAACAAACAAAACTCGTTCACCTGACAAAAGTTGCACAAGCGGCAATTTTCACATTTTAGCCAGGTACGTTAAATGTGGAGTGTAAAAAGATTTTATAAAAAAAGGAAAAAATAAGTGAAATAATATAAAAATCCATCAAACCGCAATTCACTTGCATTTCGCCAGCAAGTGCCAAATTTTTGCCTTTTTTTAATATATATTTTTATTGCGCATTTTTCGGACATGCCGGAAAAAGTCAAAAATTGCATTACAGACATGTTTCGGTGTGTGTGCGTGTGTGTGAGTGCTGAGTACGTGTTGTGTGTGAGTGTGAGTGTGTGCATTGTGTGTGTTTGGCTTTTATTTTAATTTCCCACGACGGCACATGGGGCGTATGAAGAGTGAAATATGCATTTCAGCTTGGCCTCAGCCAGCTGCCTCTCTCTCTTTCTCTCTCTTCCTCTCTCTTTCTTTTTCTGTCTTTCCCTCTCTTTGTGTCTGCACATAAATGTAAAAATTGTGCACTGATGTAAGTGCGTCTTCCGCACTTCAGCGCGTCCGTCGGCCCGTCCAACAGCCGCAAACCAAACAAACCAGCTAACAGCCCCCATCCACGCCCACCTGGCAACGCTTTTTACCTGCGCGCATTTTAATAAAAACGAATTAAAATGTACACTAATATGCTTTTATTATTTATGCTTATATTTATTCGGGTGTGTTTCTGTGTGTGCATGTTGCAAATAAATTACACTCGAAAAAGTAAAGTGCACACACACACACACAATGAGTGTGTACAGCATGTATCCTTAAACGAGGGTTGCCTTTTATGTTGTGCCCTATATAATTAAAATAAGTGCAAGCCGACTGCACAATACTCTGTTGATAGGCTATAAACATTTTAAAACAGATGCAAATAGAAATCCATAGAAAATAAGAGTATTTATTCTTATTAGAAATCTATTTCTATCTTTTTTAAGCTGATATTATCATGTGTTTTGAGAGTTAATTTTGATTATTTAGTGATTGACAGTGCAAAACTGTAAGCACTAGGCAGTGGCTTTTAAGCTGTATAAGAATTATAGTCATTTTTCAAAATTTTGGGGCAGCAAAAGTTCTAGAGTTCGATTTCTGCTAGAATTACAATTGCCAAGGCAGTCCTCGCTTTTTAGTTGTGTGTGTGCGTGTGTGTGAGCCTGAAAATGTGTCACTGTGAAAATTGCTTTGTCAGCATTAGTCCACATCCATCCGAAGTCGATCCACGCACACACACGCACACATGCACACACGCCCGCACACTAGCTTGAATCTGCCTGAAATTCTCATGCATATTATATAATTTTCCATATGCGGATTAGTCTTAAGCCCCTGAGCCGCCCACAGGGCCAACAACTTGGCAGCAGCAACTGCAGGCAACAACCACAGCAACAACCACAGCAACAACAACAACAACAAGCACGACAACCGTCAGCAGCAAGAACAGTTACATAAACCGCTTTCGCTTGGCAACTTGAGTTTGTGGCTGGCAGCGCGACAGCGGCTTATAATTTGTTTGACAAGCATCAAACTCGCTCACAAAACCAGCCCCAACCCCAACCACCCACTAGCCCACCCCCAAGATCCAGTTAGTTATAGCTTGCTCTATGATTTCACGTAGGGTTAACACAAAAAATGGTACACAAATCTCCCCCTTCCCCTCCTGAACATCATCATGATGAGCATTAAATCCGATTGTCTCGTACATATTACGTTCCGTCAACCCCCCTCCCCCCTCAACCTGCCAGTACACGGCCCTTGAGGATAATATGAATTGTTAAGCATATGATTATGTCGTAAGCATTTTAGTTGAATGCTCCCGCCATTAGTGAGCAAATGTGGCCTGTTTCTAGACAGGTGGGCGTGGCATAATCTCAAGTTTCAGCTGCATATTGTTCGACTAGCAGCTGCTTTTAAGCGCGCTTTGTGCGCACAAAGTGCTATGCTGTGTCCTCCTTTCCTTCAGCTTTACTCAATTATTTTACAAAATTGCAGCAAAATATTAAAAGATTTGCTGAAAGATCTATGCTTTCAGAACAAATCAACAAACGAAAAAAAAATACAAAGGAATTTTATCCATTGTCCGCCAATATCGATGCGAAGCGTGTTGATAAATTGTACATGCACGCTAATAAAAATGTGTTTTAAGGTGATCAAGTAAAGACTAGATATAACATTGAAAAGCTAGTTTAATGGAACATGGAACAAGCTTCCACCTAAAGCTTTCCTCGCATTATTCACAAGAAAAGGGCGAATGACACATAATCACCCATATTATGAAAGGAAAGTTATATTCTTGGAATAAGCTAAAGCAATAATTTGATAACCATTCGAACTTACAGTCTTCGCTGCTTCTCTGCACTTTCTCTTTCTAACACTCGCCCTTTCTTCTTCGCTCTCTATACATATATTACACACAGGCAGATATAACAAGTGAGAGCGAGAGAAAGAAAGTGAATACTTAACCTTTTGCAGCTACTTCTCTCAGCTTTAATGTCTTACAATTTAAAATTTGTAATTATGTCCGAAATGATATTTGTGCTTCGTAAAAATTGCGTAGGTTCTGCGCAACGTGCAGTTGCTTGCAGAGTTCTCCGGGTGGATCGACCCAGGCCTGCAACACTTCGTTGGCCTGCAGCGGGTTGCTCATCTCGAAGAGCAGCCCCTTACCAAATGTATCGTCTATATGCTTGGCCTGCACCACCTCGTCCACCAGATTGTACAGCTTCAATTCCAATAGCAATTTGCGTGCCAGTCGAACCGGATTCTCAGTGCCTCGAATGGGCTTCACGTTGTCATTAACGGGCGTCACCAGAAGGCGCGGACTGAACTTGAGATCTTCGTTGTGTGTTGTCAACGGCGCCGACGTGGGTTCAGCTGAAATGCATATTAACAGCTTATTATTGGTTTCGAAAAGTTGTAAGCAAATCTACGCACTGTTGGGTAATGCATTGCCCAGCTCAGAACTTTGCCAGATCAAAAGCAGCACCAAAAGTGCCAAGAATTTCATAATTTTCACACGTTCGATTTCAGTTTAAATCTCGCAAGCAACTGAGCTTCGTGCGAAATGAGCCGTCGGCGCAGATTTATTATCACCAACTGTTTGACCTTAAAAGCGCTTAGGTCAAATCTTTTTATTATTATTTAAATACCCTATAGCAAGAAGCATAGCAAGGTTTCTAGGCTTAAATATATAAATATACTATTTATATACGAGATTCAGATGTGATTCATCTTGAGTGAACATTTCCTGGCAATCGAATATCTAATCTTCTTGGCAAACACAGTTTTTTGCCTAAAGTTTTTTAAACATTTTCCAAGGTTCACGAACTAAGTGTGGAAAAATTATCAGCTGTTGCCACTTGGGCTGTGATTTGATAAGTTAATCAATCCTTCACTCAGTCAATCATTTATGCAATCAATTAGTTACTCTGTCAGTCATTCATTCAGTCAGTCAGCTAGTCATGAAATGCCTACCTTGGGCGCTAGTTACAGTGTGTACAGAGTATTTCACAGTCGAAGCCTTTGCAAGTGCATTAATTTTACTTTGTTCGCTCTGCAAGTGGGCCATAAGCGACTTGTTTAGCCCCTTTCTGCTGGCTGTGGCTGCTGTAAAGTGACATCAGTCGTAGCGAGTCTTAGCTGGCGCTGGGCCAGTTGCTTAATGATGCACATGTGTCGCCGGCATTTGTTCTGGATAGTATATCAAAGCGCCGGATGCTGACACATCGCGGCAGTCCTCGAAACCAATTAGGCACAGTGCCAAAAACTACAAGTCCTTAAAACACAAGAGCACAAAAACAATTGCCACAATATCTCTTCGTACATTTGCAAAAGTTTATAAAATGCAATTAAAGTCTATACAAAAAGGGAGGCGCTGGTAGTTAGATGAGTTCAGCCTAGTTCATGGGTGTAGTTAAATGTCTTTTATTTCGAAATTTCTTATGACAGAACATGCAAAATTCTCAAAACCGACAAGATTCAATTCCCTCGTAGACATTTAACCTAGGAATTTTGTGCATATGTGAGAATCTTAAAGCTCGTAAATGCTGAGCTTGTTGCATATTTTATGGAAAACAGAATATTTTGCCATAGCCTCATTCTCTCATTTTCGGAATGAGCTGACGAATGCAGGATATAGGCAGTCCTCTGCCAATCCTTGTGACATGTTATTGCCTTGTTATAGTATATAATAATAATATATAATTTGTTGTCATTCTGAACATTCCCACATTTAATGTATTTCATTTAAGGCTCTGCCATGACATAAATGAAAATCAGGAAAACGTGAAATAATTTCAGCACGCAGCGATATCATCAAATTTCATGCACTATCAAAGTCAATTTCCTGCCGGGCAACCGCGCAAACACAGGGCACAAGTCAAGCCTCGCGGGCTGGCATGGGGAGGTGAGGAAGACGGTGGGACGGGTTTGGGCCACATCGGTCGAGTTTCAGCCGCCGCAACGGTCGTCGCGTCTTCTGGCCGCCAGACACAAAAATAATTTATTCAAACTGGAGCCGTGGCGGTCGCTCGTTGGCTGCCCTGCGGTTCATTGTCAGTTAAGCTTTTTAAAAGAAAACCACTTAGAATGTTGACATTATCCTTCACTTTCTATTTATTTTGTCATTTAATCAACTTCCTGCTCGACTGTCGTCGGCGTCGTCATTCTCGTCGTCGAACTGGCGCACCCTCTGATTTGCATAGCAACTGCTCGGGCGCCACATCTTGAGATGGACGCCACACTTGTTGTTGTTGCCCGCCTACGCCAATCAGTCAACATCCCAGTCTGTGCCACCAAACGTTGTGGGAGTAAAATAAAAATTGCTTTTTACCACATAACCTGTGTGGATGGGCGCCTACCGAGCCCCCTGGCCGAAAAGCCTACCCCATCAATAGATAGAGTCAATTTGATAGCTGACTGGCCCTGCTCATTTGGCGTTATTAAAGCAATTCTATGAATATTTTAAAGGCTTTTGTTCGGACGTAGTGCCCCATAAAAGGTTTAGTGTTTCACTTCCATGCTAAAGAGGCAAATGCACAAAAGCTTTGCCCGACGACTTCAAGGCAAATATTACGAGTATGTAAATAATGTGACTGGCAGTTGAATGTATATCTTGCATTCTTGTCGCCGAGTCCCCTTCAGACTATTGGCTTAAATAACTGCCCGGGAAGAAAGGGGGTTTGAGTGACTCCGACTGGCCACATTATGAGCTGAAAGCATCCGAAACCCTAAGCCGCATTTGGGCAATCAGGCGCGCAAAGGCAGGCCCATTGAATGGTCTATTGTTTTTGGGCAAGAAAATGCTTTTAATTTGCCACTTTTCACATAAAAATAAAACCTCAAAATACTTATTTCAAAACATAAGAAAATAATAATAAAAAAGGAAATAAATGGGTAAGCCATGCATTAGCAGAAAAGATAATTTCTCATACCCTGCGTACAGTGAATATTACAAAACTAGGGTATATGAAGTTCTAAAAATGAAATGTAAATATAACCAAATCGATAGGTATCGATATGATACACTAATATTTTCTTAATATACAAAACAAAACATTTTTGTCTTGATTTTCTGACTTTAGAAATCGATAATTATGAAGCACATAGAAGTCCAAGATTATAAATAAAACTCTATAAAGGCGACTAAGTTCGCATAAATTTTTTATTAAATCGATTTTAAAGCTATATATATCGATTAAAATCGATATGCAACAACGTGTTTCTATTGTTACAAACAAATCCTTTCTACATATGTATCTTTATGTAAAACAAACGCGCCAATTGACAATTGGATCTTGTGTTTTTAGCAGCTCATCCTGGTGCGAATTTGATGTAAGGCTACAGGGTATTTTCCAGTCAAGCTGGCTCGCCTAGCATACATTTTATTTGTATTGCTTTTGTTTATTACAAGTATTTTTGCAGTCATCTCTAATGAATACGCGCGAAATAAGTCGTCTTGAAAGCACTTATAGTATTCCCTTCTGCCAGCGGAGAAAGATACAGAAACTAGAGCCAAAACTGAAGTGAGGGTAGATGCTGGGGTCGGGATTGAGGCAAAATTTGATGCCCAACTTTTGCGTTGACTTGTTGTTTTTTGTGCTCAAAGTTGCCTTCTCCCTGTTGCTTGTTGTGTCTGTCTATTGCTGTTGCAGCTCTTGGCTTAATGCTGAAATAATTACGCGCCAAAGTTGATTTTCAACGTACTCGAGAATGTTTCCAGCTCCCCGCTAGTATTTCGACCGCCCACAAACAAACTCTCAGCTGAAGTACGTGCCGCACCAATAAACCGAGGCCAACAACAAATATGCTGTAAGTGCTTGTGTGTGTGTGTGTGGGTGGGTGTGTAGCTGCTTTTGAATTGATTAAACATAAAAAAGAGATCAGCAAGTGGAAACTGCAAAAGTTCGCGGCAGCAGCAAAAATTGCATGCTTCGTGGCGCTAAACTAAGGCAAAATGAAACTCAAAAGCTGCACTCATATATGAAGCGCTCATGAGTTTGCGTAACTGCAGCCTGTAATTACAATTTATTTTATTTATTTTCTAATTTGTAAAAATTACATTTCAAAGAGATTGCAGTAGCTAATTAATTTACTTGCTACAAGCAATGCGCTGCACTCTGATTGGTTTCCATTTTAACAACGACGTCTCTGAAGCTCAACAACTAATAGACTCAATTAAAGCTAATGAATTGATCTCTGATTGGCTCTGCTGAAATCTATTCGACTCAGCGTATAGTAAGCTCAACATGAGGAGTTTTACTTTGAAGTTCATTTGCTCAAAGAGTTCGCCCTGAGTGTTTATTTAATACCCAATACATAAGCTAATCTTCTATTGACTCGCTGGAATCTATTCGATAAAACAAATATTAAGCTCAACTTCTCACTTAAAGAGAGCATCCTGAAAAACTCTGATTACCAAGATCAAGGTAGTAACATACCTGAAAGACTCAGTTATTGCGTGATCTCGATGGGATCAAAGATGTCTCTTTGACTCAATGAACAATGAAGCTCCAAACTGATCATTTGTGATTGGTTCGCTGACAACTCTTTCGTCCAACTTAACGAAAACAGAGTATGGTGCACCCACTAATAACTAAATAGCGTATACACACACACATACATTAGCCATATGTTTTCCACATGTCTGCTTATTTTTTGTTGTTGTATTGCACTTTAGGCCAGTTAATTAGTAGCTCATTGATACAGTTACAGCTGCAGTCGGTCGCTAATTTTGACCACAATATAAACTGCGCAGCGGCAGGCACAAACGTTCGCATTTATTAATTAAAACGCCACAAAAACGCAAAGGCAAACAGCAGACGGCGAGGCACTCATTACGGTTCGGCAGGTGCTCATCAAAAACAGGCCAACATTCAATTGAATGACACCAAATGTTTGTTGGTTTAATTATGCGCGCACATCAGCCCAGCCCCGCAATTGCGGTTATTGTCCTTCACAATATTTCTGCTGCAATGTCGTAATAATTGCAAAAAGCAAAAAAAAACAGTTAAACAAACAAAACATAAACAAACAAACAATTTGGCCGCATTTTGCATTTGATTTTTAATTATATTGCGACAGGTAGCGAGCGTTTCACTGCGGCCTGTGGCCGCCAAACCATAAATGCGCACACGTCCATCTATCTATCTATCTATCCATTTATCTATTAATTCGTCTGTCCGTCTGTATGTCTGTCTATAATATTGCCTTTGGTAATTGCCATTCAAGCGTTTCAATTGAAATTTCCTATTTGAGGTTAGCTACAAATACATCAACCGACACAAAAAGAAAAATAAATAATGAAAAAAATTATGGTTACAATTTTAAATCATGTTTCATAGATTGTTATCAAATGGAAACTAACGTGAACATTTGTTTTACGCACGTTTAGTTCAGTACAGTACGGGTACCTTTACTAATGTATGAAAAAGTGATATCTAAAACTGTAAACATAAGACTTCTCACGGGCAAGGTCAGATAGTACACCAGGTATGTACATATATGTATGAATGTATGTACATATGTATATATTCATATATTTATGTATGAATGTGTTTGTGTGTATGTATGTACGTATGGGTGTTTATATATGTATGAATGCATGTACAAATGTATATTTGTATGTAGATATGTATGTGTGTATGTATGTATGAATGTGTGTATGAATGTATGTATGAAGGTAAAAACATATGTTTATATAAATGTATGTATGTATTTATGTATTTATGTGTGCATAAATACCGATGTATGTATGTGTATATACATCTATATATGTATATATTATATATTCATTTATATTAAGTTTATCTCATCTTGCGCTGCAAATTAAAAAAAAAACAATATATGCTTGACTAATGCCCTAGTACGCGATTCTCATGAATTCTGTTCTTTCAGGGATGTATTTAAATAAAGGTTCGTCGTCCGCCTGCTGATAGATGACGATAAAGTAATCTTGCGTGTGAATTAACAGGTGAGTATGTTATTACTAATAAATTCTTATAAGTATGAATACGAATTTCCTATATAAGCATAGATAACAATTTCCAACACGCATAATTCGGTCAAAACTCATCTGATTTGCCCGAGGCTTAACTTTTTCTTCATGGTTTTCCCTCTTAATTATTCTGGCATTTAAATCTGAATACATATTTTTTAGTCGAAATTCATGTCGAAATCTTACCCTATTCGTATATAGACATGGGTCGAAATTCCCCACCCCCATAACTCGGTCAAATCTTATCAGATTTTCACGAAAATTGGGTCTTTCTTCTTGGTTTGGCCTCTAGATCAATTTGCCAAATAAATCTGACAACACTATTCTTGGTCGAAAATCATGTGAAAATTGCACCCTTAAATATCACATAGACATATATAGTTCCAAATTTCCCATTCCCATAACTCAGTCAATATTTTTTCCTTATGGTTTCCATTTTGCTCTAGAAATATAGAACGTATGGAATATAATATGAATAAAGAGTTATTCTTTTAATTGTGGGTCTAATTTAGTATTATAACAACATGCCAAAATTACAACAGTTTTGATCTTAAATAGCTCTTTAGCTTCCAGTACGAACGTTTCCTGGTATTTCAATTTCTTACAATTATTTTCTTTTGTCTTAAGACATTTCAAGTTAAATGCTAAATCAATTTTTTAAAACTTAAAAAGAGTGAATGCTTTTGTTTACCTATTCAAATTTATAATAAGTATTTTAACGCAGAGTCTAATTGACTTTGATAAAGCTAACAGACGATCCCAACAGACATTCGCGCTAACATATGGAACTCAAAATAAAAATGACAAACACACCAAACACACAGAGGCACACACACGCGGACACACACGCGCTGACAAAATCCAATCAACGTTTTCTTTTTTTCTAATCAGCAAAGTATAAAGTAAATTCAATTACGCGGCGAACAGCAGCTACTTTGTAAATCCCCAGGATCACACACACACATGCCTAGCAGGAATGTCGAGTGTGTACCGTTATTTACATACACTCACAGGAGTGTGTGTGTAACTGTGTGTGTGTGAAGGGGGTGTGCGTAGGCGTGTGAGTGCATGTGTGAGTGAGAAATTTGTCCCAAAAGGAAATTTTTGAAAATAAATAGAATTCCGCTAAAGTCAAAGCCGAGTAAACAAGTGCGGTGGTTGATGGGCCAAGAGAGGAGGGCTGAGGGGATCTATGGGAGGGGCAGGGCAGCTGACGTGTCCTTGTCGTGGTGTGCGAATCCACGGATCCATGGCAACTAATCAGAAATTCCGTCTCATGCGCGACCATTTCCACAAAAAAAAAAAAAGAAAAGCAGAGAAAAGCGAGACGACGGACAGAGGAGCTGCAGCGCAGAAGCGAGCGGGGGGGACAGTGGGGGGACGGACAGACGCACCAAGCGCCAAAGACGCAGGCAGAAGCAGGGACGACGGGGCAAAGAGGCAGCAACAGCGTTTGGGATTATGCAAAATTCAATTTGCAACTTAAATGTGTTTATTTTGCGTTACGCTGGCGCAATTTTTATTTTCACTGAAAATGAGGGATTTAGCACGCCAAGGCGCAGTCGAAGGACACCGCCAGGATAAGCACAGCAACTGAGGCAGAGCAGCAAGCCAGACCCAGGCCGGGCCACAACAGTAAGCCGAACGGGTAGTTCGAACCAAACAGCCAACCAATGAGCGTCGCCATCAATTTTCCAATCTTATTGAGCGCTTAAATGTGTGTGTGTGTGTGCGAGTGTGTGGGTGTGGCAACATCGTTTACTCTGCCTGGCGTAAATTGCTGATTTACAAACAAAATGTGATTTTGCACAAGCCAAAACCCCAACAAGCCAGTCCCCATTCTCCCAAAACTCCTTTCGCTCTCAAAGAGCGCCTTTTTTTATGGCGCAGGCTTCCCTTTTGCATAATAAAAGTCGTGGACAAATTGCCGAAATTCAATTTGATAGTAAATTTGGTTGCCATTTATTTAATTTGATGAGCCTCAAGTCGGTCGCCCATCAAAATTATCGAATCACAAAAACAGTAAACGCCGCATACGATTTTGACGCACTGTCAGCGTTTTTTTTTCGTCATCTTGCAAGTTTGTGGCGCAAGTTGTCTAAAATTCGTAACGCACTTTTAATTAGGTGTCAGTCAGTTTACTTATGACAACAACTGTGGAATTAACGTTGAAAAGCGCTGACAAAGTTTAGGCGGCAGGCGGAATACGCATAATTTATGCCGCCACTGTAATTTGACGAGCACCTCAGAAAACCTAAGCAAGTGTTTTGAATGCACTCGAAGAAATTGTGTGTGTACTTGCCATTGCACAAAAGTTGACATAGAAGCAAAGTTTAATGACTACCGAAAATGGGTTTAACTCTAAAAAGAAAACTGAATTTGTTCCATTTTAATTTTTTTAAGGGATTTAATTAAACTAGATATTTAAATTCTTATTGAATTGGAATATATTAAACATACAGGAAATTTGAAATACTTGACTTGCGTAAAATACATAAAAACTTCTCTAGGCAGCCCATATTCCACTTTGATTTGCGAATTTATTTCACATGTGGTTTTTTTTTTTTTATTTTGTGGATTTATTAGAATAATGTTCAATATTCATAGTAAATTAAATTCAGTTTTATATGCTTTGGTGCAATCTGAGATATTTATCTGAGCAACTTAAAACAATAATTAATAATTTTTCAATACTTCAAATTTAAAATTTTGAGACTCGGCACACGAAGCTTGTCTTGTTTTTGTTTTTTTTTTTTTTTGTAGTGTAGAGTCTAATGAATGTCAGCGCCCACAAATGACAGTTGAATGGGAATTTAGTTTTAAATAAAGCGTACGCCACACGCCCCCAATATCCCTGGCTCCCTCCCTGCCCCATCCCAAACCGCGGCCTACAAGCAAAATATTTTAGTTGCCGCACGCAAATTAGCTGAAAGTTTTGCCCACTGTCCGCTAAGTGGGTGGTTGGGTGGTTTTATGGTGCCGGCTGCTGTCTTGAACTGTGATAGGCCCTCAGACTCGGCAGCTCAAATGAATATTTGATAGCGCTGCCAGAGAAAACAAATTAAAAGCGCTGGCATAAAGCTTGTTGCATACTTTATGGCGCTAATTTAGGTAGAACAGCAAATGACACTAGCAGCAGCCAGGGCCAGAAGGCAAAGAGAGGGGGTGGACATCTTGATGGGGCCAGGCTCTGAAGTTGCAAAACTTAAGAAAACTCTGTGCCCCATGCAGGGCGCCGCCTGCCCCAACTGCTGACGGCCTGCCCGCTTGTTTATGCACGCACATTAATTTCAAAGGGCTGCAGTAGCCAAAAGGAGGTTGGTTGTGGGCCCGCAACCACGGCAGCTGGCCAAAATGCTTTGGACCACCAACCACATTTCAATGTTGCAAAATTTTGTCGCACAACTAAATGCTTTTAAGTGCATTTGCCTGTTCGCTGCCAGAGGGCGGGGCCAGTCGGCGGCACATGAAAGGGTTATGTGCGGCCGAGACAGGCAGCGGGGCGAGCGTCAAATTTGTGCCAAAAATGTTGCTGCTGGGCTTTTCAACTAGCATTTGTGGCTCGAAACAAAGCAAACTTTTGCATGTCATGCAACTGCTTGAGGTGTGCCGCAACGAGATGAACGCGTGCAGCACGAATTACAAATCTAAAACACGATTCTTACGATGTTTGTGGGGCATATTTTATATAGATATTACTCTTTGCAATTGGTCTAATGGTCTAAACAACCGCAGTGATGCAAAAAGCGTTGCTGGCTTCCGCTTTTGCGAGGGACATTGGAAAACAACCTCTCATTCTTGTTATCTAAATAATATTGATTTATCAACTGAGCCTTATCAATTTTAAGTTCTATTTTTGTATACTCCGGGAATGTATTTTTTTTAACAAAAAGGTCTTTCTATGAAAATCAGAATATATGCTGGCAAATTTCTTTAAAATGTAAGGAAAAGTTTTGGAAACTCAAAAGAGGCAAACAGTTCGCTAAGAGTCTTAGGCTCTACTTTATACAGAGGTGAAGAATTCGCCAATTATTTATTTATTATTATTTTAGATTGGGTGGGCAAATCGGAATCAAGAAGCCTTTAGATATTATTGGAATTCCCAAAAGTCCCTCGCTCACCTAAACTTCACTTGCAGCCTATGGGCCTGAACCAAATACCAATACGCCTAAAAATCAAGGCAAGTGAAGGCGTGGCATGTTCTGCCCACTGTGTTTACATAAGCTTCATCTGGACCTGAAAGTGGCTGCAGCAATTATTTAACAGCCCAGCGCCAACTGACGCATACAGGCCGAGTTGCAAGTGGCCGTACGTATTGTGGTCTCATCTTGGGGCAGGCTCTGCCTTTTCCAATACACTTACAGTTGTGGCATATCGGCTATTTATGCATTTTGACCTGTGCTAATTAGTGCAGCAGCATAAAAGGAGCGGGTGACGGAGTGTCATCAGCATGTGGCAAGGTGCCTTACTGTATGGCAGCCAATATTAATTGCATTGACAGAGCAAAGGAGAGGGACAGAGTGAAAAAGAGGTGAAATGAGAAGGGGGGTAGTTTGTTGACATGCTGTTGCCATTTCTGGCCGCCGCCATAGTCATTGACATGGCCAACATGAGGCGACTGTTGCCGCTGTTGTTGTTATACCCTGTAAACAATGAGCGTGGGTATTCTCGTTTTGTTTTCTCGTTTTGGAAAGTCGGTCCTCTCCTTGCCTGGACCGATAATATGTACTAAAAATCATCGATAACGCTTTCTGATCTGGAGAAATCGATTAGTATAGAAGTTCAGCATACGTTTTAAATCACGAAGACTTAAATATCTGGAGCTACTAAATTTAGTAAAAAGACCCGCACCGCATTGCGCTATATAAATATGTATGCCATGCTTCAAGCCTGAAATTTTCATAATGATCGGACTATGTAAACCGAAACTATCAAAGAACGTACTTATGTTTTCCACCACAGAGTATATTCTAGTC